AGGAGGTTGAGTCTCGTTGCCATCTCCCTGTCTCGCTCCATCAGCGCCAGTCGCTCTGGCGAGGTCGTTGAAAGACATGTTCTCAACGTTGATGATGTTGCGGACTACCTGGCTCATCATTCTCCGCATGTTGTTCACTTCCTCCACGCTCGGCTGCCCTCGCCCTCCTCCCTGCGGGAAATGCTCCTGCGGCGCTCCGAACTGCTGGATGGTAACCCGCGCAAAGCCCTGGGGCACTGCACCGGAGGCGGAGAAGGAAGGAGCGGTGAAAGGGAAGGCGGAGGAGGAGGAGGAGGAGGAGGCTGCCTGGGGATTTGATGGCATTGATCCTTGTGCCGACGTTCCCGACTGAGGAGGAGGAGGAGGAGGCTGCTGAGCTCGTTGCATGGCTGCCATGAGCGCCTGAGGAATAGCTACTGCGATGTTGGGGGGCAGCTGGAAGGGAGCAGGCGCTGGCATCTGCTGGGGTTGGTGACTGTGCTGGGGCTGCTGCTGGGGCTGCCGTTCCTGCTGGAAAGGTAGCTGGGAGCCCTGCTGTCCAGCATGATGAGGTTGGCTAGCTGGTGGCTGGGATGCATCAGAGTCCGGCTGTTCACTTGCAGGTGAGAAACGTAACGAGCAGTTGGCATGCGCGCTTACCACCGGCGCTGCTGTCCCCTCCCCTTCCTGCCTGCTGCCGCTAGCCTGCCAGCCTGTCACGGCTGAAAGTACAAGGAGAGGAGAGAAGGGGGAGAGGAAGAGAGAAGGAGGAGGAGAGGAGGAGGAGAGGAGGAGGAGAGGAGGAGAGGAGGAGGAGAAAACTTACCTGACTCCTTCCCTGGTTCATCCGCGTGGCGACGCTGCCCAGCAAGGAGTTGACAAACTGCAGGACTTGACCGGCTGACGCGTTTCGCCCGTCCGCTGCTCTCACCCCCTGACCTGCAAACCCCCCGGCACGGAAGCTGAAGGAAGGAGGAGGAGGAGGAGGAGGCAGCGGCGAAGGCCTCGGCCCGCCCCCAGCAGACGATGAACCATCCTCCTCTCTCCTCTCGTTCTGGGGAGTCGGGTGACTCCCGTCCCCTCTTTGAGCCTCATGGCCCGCATGCTGCTCACCCTGCCATTCTTCCTCTTCTCCTCGCCGCAATTCGTTCTGAGCTTGAGAGCGAGCTTGCTCGACCCTCTGGTAGGCAGGGGGATGAAAGACCTCCCTGGCGGTCTGGTCGATGCTTCCACTCGCAGGTTCTTCACCGAACATCAAGTTGGAGATGAGAGGAGAAAGGTCAGACAGTAACATCCCCAAGTCTCGGAGAGCAGGAGCAAGGTGATACGCCAGCCCCTCAGCCTCGTCTCGCTCTCTTCCTCGCAGCCGCTCCTCATCCCTCACAAGCCCCTCCAGCCTTGCAAGCTGACGAGAAAATTGCTCCATCGATCTTCCTGTTATCCCGATGACTTCTGACAACTTAGACAACCTGCAAGCCTGTCAGCTTTGACGAGGAGCAGGAGAACAGGGGCAGGAGAACAGGAAAACCGGGAGGGAGGAGGGGGACCGAGGAGAACAGAAGGAGGAGGAGGAGAGGGAGGGAGCAGAAAAAAGAGGGGGGGTGGGGGGGCTTTACTCCGTGCTGGAGGAGGCGGTTCGATCAGGTTGACGGCGAACTTGACGAGTCACTCCCGCGTTGTTCGTCTCGATCAAGAACCTGGGCTGCATGCGGGTGAACGTGTGCCCGCTGACATGTCGGTTTCCTGTCCGCTGAAAGCTGCGACTTGACTCACAACATGCAAGAGTAACAAAGAAGAGAGAGGGAAGCATCAGGAGAGGGGGATGAGGTGAGCTGGGAAAGGGAGAATGAACAAAATCTTACTCTTGATAGCAAACGTCGCAGAGGTCAAAGTCCTGTGAGTGCCAACATAAGCTCCTATCCCTCCCCTCCATCATCATCATCATCATCATCATCATCATCATCATCATCATCATCATCATCATCATCATCATCATCATCATCATCATCATCATCATCTCTACCACTTCTACCTCCTCAACCTTACAAATCATCATCATCTACTTCACTCTTTAGATCATCATCATCACCACCACCACTGATCATCATCATCACCTCTACTGTAGATCATCATCATCACCACCACCACTGATCATCATCATCACCTCTACTGTAGATCATCATCATCACCACCACCACTGATCATCATCATCACCTCTACTGTAGATCATCATCATCATCATCATCACTGATCATCATCATCACCTCTACTGTAGATCATCATCATCATCATCATCACTGATCATCATCATCACCTCTACTGTAGATCATCATCATCATCACTGATCATCATCATCACCTCTACTGTAGATCATCATCATCACCTCTACTGTAGATCATCATCATCATCATCATCACTGATCATCATCATCACCTCTACTGTAGATCATCATCATCATCATCACCACCACCACCACCACCACCGACCACGACGAAAGAGCAAAATCAAGATTGAGCATCTCACCGGGCAGTTAGAGCACTTCCAGCGAGGACCGATGAACGGGCTCATCCCACAGCCGTCGCACGTTACATGGTCGTGCATCTCCTGCACTTGACCTCCGGGCCCCTGCTGGGCCGAGTTGTCTTGGAGCAGCCCGCGCTCTTGGCGGATGCTGTACTGGGAGGCAAGGGTGTCTACGGAGACTTGAAACTCCGTGAGGTGCTGCAGGAAAACTCTCTGCGGCATCGCTCTCAGTCGGCTTCCGGGAGAGACACGCTATCACCATCGAGTTCAGCCTTGACTCGATCGTATGCGGCTGCCGGGCCCGAAAGCCTTGGAGGGCGTTTTGAAGGTTCAAGTCTCCGATCACCTTGAGCATGCAGTGAGGGCCGCAGCTGCGGTCGCATGCGCCTGACCTGCTGCAGAACTTGATGGATCGTCCCGGGATTCAGCGCCGCGTTGTCTCCTGATACTGTGATGCCTCCCATGATCACACCCGGCCCGGCCTGAATGCCCCCGGGCAACGGGATCCCTGGGATGCCATGGAACCCTTGGAATCCTCCTGGCATCTGCGACATGGCGGGTCAGGAGGTGGAGGAGGAGGACGAGGAGGAGGACGAGGAGGGGAGAGTGAAAAGGATGGCTAGCAGGAGGCTGCCTGAGCTCGCTCACAGACCTCCTGCTGTCGGTCGGATGCGGAATGCCCTTCGTCTCTCGCCGCTTGCTCTCCTGGGTCCGAGGAGGCCGGTGCCCTGGTGACGACATGCACAGTCGATCCCCCATCGAGCAGCCCCTTGTACTCGCTGACAGAGGAGTTGTCTTTCAGCACCTGCAAGGATATCAGCCAGGCCCGCTGCTTCCTCTCGCTACACCTTTCCACGGAAGATTATCCGCTGCGTGTCAGCCGAGATGCCTGTAGATTCAGCGACCTTTTCTTTCAATTCCGAGATGAGCGTTTCCTTGGAGACGGAGTAGCTGTAAACCTGCCCATTGAGCGTCTTGACCTGTCCAACATCACAAGTTTGAGGTGTTCACATCGCATCCAGACGACAACTTCACCTTGATCTCGTGTGTGTTGCCTGAGCTCTGGTTGTCTCCCGCGCTCGCCTCCATGCTCCAAGAGGTTGTATTGATCTGCTGATGAAGGATCTTATCGAACGAAGAAACACTTCCTTGGCTATCGCAAGAAACCCAAGGCATGCATCTTTCGTAACATCAGCACTGTTGCTGCACGCGGCCCTCACTGTCCCTGCTTCTACTCCCTTCCTCCTCGCATGCATCTGTTCGCACTGACCTATCACCACGTCCTGTCCTGTCCTGTCCTGTCCTGCTCCGCCCCTGCCTTCTCTTTCCTTCACACCGCTGCCTGCATTGACCGCTGTTCCATGCATTCCCTGCTGTTCTACGAAGAATTAACCAAGAGGTGGTGAGGTGGGATGGAGTAGGTAGGGTATATCACCTCACCCTCAAAATTGTCTATTGAATATCTTATTGGAGCAGGGGTACCTGCAATTCGTGGGGTAGTGGTTGTTTCAGGCATTATTTCGCATGGCGTAAGGAAGTAGAACTAGCCGAGGTGTTGCGAGAGGGGGAGGGAGAGGAACTAGAGGAACTAGAGGAGGAGGAGAGGGAGAGAGAGAGGGAGAGGGTGGAGAGGTGGTGGCTTCTGAGGTAGATAAGGTCACAGAAGGGAAGGAGGAAGCACGATGAGTCAAGCAAGCAAGGATCATCAGATATCAGCAAGGGGAAGAAGATTCACCTTCAGCAGCGCTAATGTTGCTGGACGTTCCCCTGCTCCTCCTCCTGTTCCTCCTGTTCCTCCTCCTGCTCCCCCTCCCGCATCACGTCGTCCAGCACCAGCATCGGTTCAAGCTGGCCCAGCTTCAAGGGGAAAGGAAGAATCTGGTTCCTTTGGATGTGCTAGTCCACATAACCCTCAAGAACATCTAGAGGAGCAGGTTCTCTGCCATGGAGCTGAATTCACTCAACTGAAAAGTTTGCAGTCAGAAGCAAGCAGTGACGATCTTGACGGTGACAGTGATGGTGATAGCAATAGCGAAATGTGAGGTTTGTCGTCAGTTTCTCCTTCGTTCTCATCAACTTGCAAGGTCACCATCTGAAGTTGAGCATTCGAACGGGAGCACGAGAGAGGGACTGACCGCAGGTACGGATAAGGTTGCGGTGAGGCCAATGACGCTAGTAACTTTGACTAGGAACAAGCTCGTCGTCTGGCTCGGAGAGTGTGAGCAGATGACGTCCCGTCACTTCACTCGTCTGACCATACATGTGTGCATGTGTACATGTTCAGGTTGCTTCCGATGACGACCAACCGTCGCCGTTTCAGTCTTGCAACAACTTGGAGAGGCTCATTGCGGACCTCAAGTCGTCGAGCGCTGCCTTTGCTTCAAGTCAGAGCTGCGAGGCGAGAGGAGGCCTGCTGCAGTCGTGGGTTGAGCGGCACAAGCAAAGCCAGCAGGTTGATGTCGATGATGAGATGCAGAGGGATGACCTGAGATGACAGCGGTTGGAGGACTGCATGGCACCTGAAGGCAGGAAGGAGAGCAAGAAAGTGAACTTGGTCAACATGATCGACGCTTGGTGATCTAGATCATCCAGGCTCGCCGAAAGAAGATGATTGCATCAATTCTCAAGGATGAAGAGGTAGACGAGACTGCTGCGGTTGTCAATAAGCTTTCTTTCAAGCTGGTCTCACAGCTCTTGTCGGAACATGTCGGAAAGGAGGCGAAGGAGGCATCTTGGCTTGTCTTGTCTTAGGTTGTGCTGACGGGGCTCAAAGGATTCGGCTGAGAGCGAGCTAACCTGGGAAGCGCGAGCCAAGCAGAAATCTCAACCAGTGCAACAGCTGCAGGGGGCCAAAAGTAGCACCCTGCCTTCGTGCTCGAGCTTGAAGAAAGGCGATGATAGCAGAGACTTCGACTTTGGCGGAAAGGTTTGAACCCTAAAGCTCTGTGATGGTGATAGATTCTGAGCTTGTTTCAGATGGTTCCTGCTTCCGCTATGGACTACGACTCTCGGTGATGGCGAAGACAGACGGGAAGGGTGCGTATGACACTGACTGTCGTTTTATGTCAGCGACATCTTGGAGGAAGACCTGGTTGTGCACGGAAGGTTAAACAGTCCCAGTCTTCGCTCTCACTTTGACCCCTCACTCTCTCTCCGCAGCTTTCAGAAAATCGCAAACGACACAGAAGCACAGATGTTCGTCAGGTTGTCTAGCGGAGAGATGGGCGAGTCACTTGATGCACAAGGTTCGACCAAAATCATCATCTACTCTACTTTAGATCCTCCTCCTCCTCCTCCTCCTCCTCCTCCTCCTCCTCCTCCTCTTGTTTTCTTTGATTGGTCTGACGGTCGCCATAGCATACAAGCGGTTGCTTGACCATGCTCGTTTCAAACATGCAGAGACTTCACTTTCAGTGCCTGCATCCAATGCACCTCCACGCAATGTTGTCGAGCCCAGTCGCGTGCATGGGAGTAGGAAGGGGATGTGCGTTGGCGACGTGCTGGAAGCGAAGGGCATTCTCGCGATCAGCATGTCGCTTCTAGATACTGTCTGTTCGGTGAGTTGTGGTGTCCCCTTGCCCGTCGTCGGGGCTATCTTTGCTTATGACGGTGTCATTCTGCCGCTACCCTTCACCTCCTCTCGTCTCGGCTCTTCGTCTGTCGCTGACACATCGGCAGAGCGGGCTGAGCATACGGACATGGCGGAAGAACAGTCAGAGCTCGACGGGGGGGCTTATGGTTGGGAAGGCGTGGAAGTGCAGCGAGCGATGGGGAGGAGGAGGAAGGTGGCAGAAACGGATGATGATATTCGACCTTGGGACTGGAGAGCTCATGTTATCGAAGGACGGAGAGCACAAGAAGAAGGTCCTCGGGATCTTTTCAGTAGGGAAGAACTTGTCGGAGGTGAGGGATGAGGCGTGCCTATGAGGGTTGGTGAGCAGTTTGTTTGTAGAAGGAGAATGTTCTCACGCAGGACGCCAAGATCGTATCGCTCTTTGATGTTCAAGATGTGTCGGAGACATCAGAGGGAGACGAGCCTGTTGTGGGAGCGAGTATCAAGGTTGTTGCCGTCATCCTTTACTGATCCGCTGACTCTTTCAACAGCTGCAATACCTGCAAACTGAAGGCAAGAAAGGCGGGCTCAAGCTTTGCTTCTCCAATGTCTCGGAAAAAGATTTCTGGTTCAGAGCGTTTGTGGAATGGAGAGAAGCGTGTGGTAGCAATGAAGCCTCTTAGGACAGACTGTTCAAGTCACTCAAGGAAAGCCTTGAAGAAAGACTACTGTCCGAGTCCGGCACGCGGCTACTACCGGGTAGCATCACTGAGTCAGCACCGGTATGCTACTAGCCTGTGTGTCCGACGAGCGCACCTAGCCTGAGGGCACAGTGTCCCGCCAGTACCCTGCGCGCGCAGCTACTAGGCCATTGTGGGCGCCCGGCAACTTGGATGTGTCCGGCTCGCGGTCGGCACGTCTCGGGCCTGATTGGATCACCCCCGGGCCGGCGACTCGATACGGCCCGGTCACTGAGTCACGATCACTGGCCGCCGCCCGGCCCCTGCGGCACACCCGGTTGCACTGTTTATGTCATAGGATTATGTATAATAATCAATCATAATTATACATAATTTCAAGAAAAACGGTGTGACCGGTTGACTGGCCGCGTCAAATCTCATGTCCTTCATCATGATATAGAAAGACAGTTCTTCCCTCCTCCCCTCCTCCTCCCCCTCCCCTTCCTCCCCTTCCTCCTCCTCCTCCCCCTCCTCCCCTTCCTCCCCTTCCTCCCCTTCCTCCCCTTCCTCCCCTTCCTCCCCTTCCTCCCCTTCCCTCTCTTCCCCTCTCCCTATCTTCCTCTCGCTCCCTCCGAAGTTATCTCTCTCCTCTCCGAGCCCTTAGGCATTCCTTACCCTCCCAAAATTTCCCTCCCACTCTTGTCTTCCCTCCTTTCTGTGATCTATCCCCATTTTCGTTTCATCTCAGTTCTGGCCTCTCTTACCCTGCCGTTGCTCCCTCCCCTTCTTTCCTCTCGTCCCAACCATTCTCATTCCCTCCCCTCTCATTTACCCCCACTCCTTTCCTCCCCGTTTCTTCCAACACGTATCCTCCACTGCTTCACATCTCCAATCTTTCTCCCAGTACCCTCCCATTCTTTCTTGCTTCCTGCTCAGCAACTCTTTTGCTTCCCTACCTTTCAGAGTTCCGCATTCTGTTGTTCTCGAAACCAAGCAAGTCTTTTACCGATCTCTCCTGCTCATGCTGCTGCTCCTCACGTGCTCTGCTCTTATCGCTTGCTTTACATCAGCTTTGGCGACACAAGAAGAATCGACCAAGCGCTCCTGCTCCTCGCGCTCTGATCTCATATTGACCTTCTCTTGTCCTCCTCCCCAGCACGCCCTAGCATCCTTCCGTCTCAACCTTTAAGCGCAACATGTACGAGGTTTAGGAAGGAGGGATGGATTCGTACGGGACCGACTCATCAGGGTCGTCAGACTGGTCGCCAACAGCCTCAGCCTCGTTATCTTCTTCCTCCGTCGCTTCAAGTCTCTTCGACAAGGGCGGTTACAATCAAACTTATGGCTCCTACCAACTGCCAAGGAACAACGAGGAGAATGAGCTACAAGGCGACCACTCGTTCCAAGATCAAAAGTCCTTCACTCGTGAAATCACCAACCCCAAACGATCCCAAGCTGTGGTGTGTGACAAGCTTGCCTAGCTTGTTTGCCTGACGTCGCTGGCAGGCAAAAGCAGGTTCAATCCTTCGGAAGACTGCAGACATGTCAGAGAAATTGAACCACTTGCTTGATGGTTTGGCCTCCGGGCAATCTTTCACAGATGTACTTTGCAGATCATCCGCATGTTTGGTTGTGATGTTTGACTAGATGTCAACCAAGAAGAACATCGGTGGGAATCAGCCCAAGAAAGTTTTGTCTGTCTCGTCCAACAAGGGGATCCAACAGCTCGAAGCAGGTCTCAACCTACCTGAGAGTGTGACAAGGTGGGTATGACACACTGATACCTCGTCAGAGTTGGAACTGGTAAATAAGAGGCTTCGCCTCCTCAAACAGAGCAAGCCTCCTGCTAGTCACGATCAGATGGCGCTGTGAGTCTCTTTCCTGACCTTGATTTTTGTGCTCATGACATCGATGTGTTTCAGTACTTCTGTAGACACGCAATATGTGACAGAAGCTACAGATGAGATCCCCTTTCCTGTTTGTTCCTCGCACTGCTCCTTCTTTTCGGCTGATCAATAGCTGCTCAGAGAAACTTTCAGAAGGTTGAGCCCAGAGTTGAGGTGATGGTGAGGAATCCAAGCCGTTGGCCATCTGATGAAGATGCAGGATGCGGTGAAGGTGAGCGACCAGCGAGTCTTTCAAGACGTTCAGCAGTTGGTGACAAAACAGGTATCTCATCTATCCCTCCGCCACGGCGTAGGATCAATCGTTCTGCAGGTGGTCAATCCTTCTAATCAGGAGGGTCACGTCGAAGCAGCAAAAGCCTCGCAGTCTGGCAGTTTTCTTCCTGCAAGACCATGGAAGGACGACTCGGACGCACCTCTAGAGGTGTTGCTATCCAGTGAGGTGTGCGCCCCTGCCTGTCTGCCTGCCCATCATCGACTGCCACTAGCTGAGCAAGGCGCGGGACGAGCTGAAGGAGCAGCAGCGGACCAATGAAAGCCTGCAGGTTTCGGCTCTCGTGGCTTGAGCGCTTGTCTTGACATGTCTGCGGCAGCGGAGCATCAAAGACCTCTTGGCTCAGGAATGCTCAGTCGAGTTGAAACGCGGAGGCAACAATTGATGATATGGCAGGTGAAAAAGCGGGACGAAACGATCCAGCACCTCTTCTCCCTTGTCAGCGAACGAGATTTCACCATTGCCATGCTCAAGCAAACGCAGACACCTGCTAACGCTACATGTACTTCCTTTCGAGGATGCGCTTAATGTGGGTGACGCTGTAACATTCAGACCGAGAGGGAAGAATGAATCAGTCGAAGAAGAGATCATCCGTGTCCAAGAGCAGGTGCTGTACCAACTTCGGTTGCTCGTGTGACGAACATGCCGTATAAGGATGGGAGAAGGCGATGAGGCTCAAGACGATGGATCGAGAATGCAAACAGCGCGCACGACGTCCAGCAACATGCAGAGAAGAGGGAGCAAATTCTCTACCATCGCTGAGGAGTCGGAGGGTCAACGTCTTGTACCTTGTCTGACTCGATCTGCAGAACCAGCGCTCGTGATACAGCCAGAAGCTCGGAAGGCGCTCCTGTGCTCCATCGTACCCTTGTGCTTCTGGATCAAGACTCCAACATCCGCTATACTGTCTCGTGAGTATCGTCGTCTTAAACGGCATTTCACCTCTCAAGTCGTGCAGATCCTACGACGAACCTTTCACAATCGGCAGGAGCTCCAACTGTTCGCTTCCTCTCGACAGGAAGCTTCATCCGTCCGTTTCTCGCACGCACGCCAAGGTTACTAGCCTTTGCTCTTCTTCAAGATTTCTTTCTTTATGCATCTCGCAGATCTACTTCGACTCCTCTGCTCAGGCATTTGACATTCAGGACTCCAGCACCAGTAAGATGGTCGAGAAGGGAAGAGGGCCAAAGGAGCTAGAGGAGCAGAGGAGGAGGGACAGGGATGCAGAGGAGCTGTAGGGAGGAGGGACAAGGGGGTTGGAGGGGCAGGAGGAGGAGCAGGGATGCAGAGGAGCTGACGAGCATGGCAGCGGGGACGGCAGTCAATGATGACTCCTTTCAGAACGAGATCTTCAAGGAGCTGCAGGTGGGCGACGTGATTACGATCGGGGGGGCAGCGACTGGGAAGCGCTTCCTGGTGGAGTCGATCACCGACACGCCAGAGTGAAAGAAAGGCAGCTGACGGACATTGAGGGCGAAAGATGATGCGCTAAGAGACGATAGTAGAAGTTTATTGAGGCTATTGGGCAAAGAGGCAAATAAATGAACAAGAAGTCAATCCAATGCTCCAAAATACACGTAGAACAGTATTGTGTTGTGTTGCAGGCACTGACTGTGCATATTTACAACCCTCGTGAGTGTAGAGACACTCGAATATTCAATATTAACAGGCAGAACATGATCGTCAGGCAGCTGATCGGCTTTTGCTAAACCATTGTTCGATCTTGCTGCGGGTGGCTTCATCACAAGTGTCCGCAGATTCATGATGAGCTTGCAACGATCGCGTCTTCTTCAATTCAGGCTTTGACACCGAGCGAGAGCCCGAGGAAACTTTCACTTGACTCCCTGAGATAGAGTGGCGTCGAATGAGCGTCGTGCTTTTGCTTGTCCCCTCCTGTTTCGCCTTTGCATTGGTGCTTCCGTACAGACTGCCAATCTCTTCCGGTATCAGCAGCTGATTATGGTTTCCAAACGTAAAGCTACTCCTTTTCCCTGGATGCCCGTTTTTCAACCCCTGGTCTTCAGAACCCTGTTCGCTGTTTTCAAAGATAGGTACAAGAGTATGCGCCGAGTTCACAATTTCGTTGAATTTTTGCCTACTCTGGCTTTCAATCTCCTTGGTCAACCCCACAAAACCGTTCTGAATGTCCGTGATGAGATTCATCGCTACGCTGCACTTCAAGCTTGCTTTACAAACGTTATCTTGCGCAAATGCTGAAGGGCAAGGAGGGTTACGATCGAATATCTCGAAAACAGCCGGGAAGGGTATACGAACGAGTCCTATATCACTGCGAAAGATGAGGTAACCGAACACAGAAAGCTGACGTGGAGAGGAGAAGGGAGAGGAAGACGTGGGGGATAGAGAGGGAAAGGAAGGGAGCAGAGGAGAAGCAGCGGGGAAGCAGAGGTGAAATAGAGGGGAAGCGGAGCGAATGAGAAGCGGAATGGTCGGGAAACTCCTGGGGCATGCAGGGGGTTGGGTCATTATGAGGTGGGGTGGTGCCAATCTTATCCGGTTGTCCTCTCCTGCCAAATTCTGTACTACGAAGAGGTGGGTACAGACCGCATAAGTTGGAGGTGGGGGTCTTAAAAAGTTGTCTTTGCCTGCACAGTGGGTAGGGGTTCATGATGAAAAGGGGGTTGTAAAGGTTCTCATCACGGGTCCTCTGGGGTTGGCTTATAAATACTTTTAGTTCTTCTTTTTAAGGGGGTCCAGGATGGTTGGGGTCCTCATTTTTTTTCCGACCTTCACCCCTATTTGGAGTACCCCTTGATATGCACTATTCAGCAGGGGTGTAATCGTCCGTTAGTCTTCGGTCAATCCAACCCATATTCCGATATTTCAACAGTCCATTTTAAATCAGGTCCGTTTTCTATCATCGAGATACGGAAATATTTGGGTAATTGAATTATAATTACAAATTTCACTGGCCAAGGACCGGTAGTTCTGTAAGTAGTTTTTGAAGCAATCGATCTCCAGAGGGTGGGGTGGGTGGTGGAACCCAATCTGGTTTTTTTTTTCCCGCGCCACACCCCCACCCTGGTTCTCAGTAGTTGTCTTTTTACTACCCCTACCACCAGATGTAAAGTTTCCATAGCTTTTGAGCTGACCCCTTGTACCCCCCCCCCGCTGATAGTCCTCAGGCTTCAAACTACCCCCTCCAACCCACTTGGTTTGTCTCTCTGGTTTTTTAACCCCACCCTCAATTTCTCTTTACATCTGTCCCTTTTCTTTTTAAAATGATGGTCGTAGAAACTTTACTTATCTATCAAGCCATCACCTCCGCGATTCGCCGTGATCGCGAACCGCTTCGTACTAAAGTTTACTCATTCAAGTTAAGTATCGCCGGGCCGATCAGAGCCACTGAGTGAGTCCGACCGGCGTCGGCCCCCGACCGTGACCGTACCGGCCGCCGGCCCTGCGGATCGGACTCGGACCGTGAGTGACAACTCTCCGTCGTGCAGTGCCGCACGCGGCACTGGCCACTGCACGACTCTTCACTCAAACTTAAGTTAAAAACTCAGTACGAGGACAATCAGGTCCATGACGGCATACTATACTTCAAGGCTAGCAACAACTACGGTAGTACCGTAACTTAGCCTAGTAGTAGGGCAGCCTCGGCTCAGCCCGAGTTCCGAAGTTCCGAACTTGGCAACGACAGGCTGAGAAAGAGTCACTGGGCTCCGAGCCTCCTGGCAGCGCCGCGGCAGCCTAGTGACCGTACCCCGCGTGGCACGGTGCTGTGGCACCGTGCCGTCACAGAGGCAACTTGCAAGCCTCAGGGCCCCGGGCAGCCCCGGGCGGCATCCGATCATGGCCCCGGACTCGGTCCGATCAGTGAAGGCCCTTCGGCAAACTTTGTTGCCGGCCGGGCCGGGCGGCCCGGCGCTCAGTGCCCGGGCCGCCGGCCGGCCGCCCGGCCCGGCCCGGCGCCGCCGGAGTCGTGTTCCCAGCTACGTTCAACGTACAGAACCTGTACAGATGCCATACTTCTGGCATGCACTTAGAGCATTGAAGACTTGTAGGATAGCGATTGCTCCTTGAGCCACTACAGCCACTACCTCCACCTCCTCCTCTCGTCTCATCTCTAGTCCTCCCTGCCAACAACTCAACCTATCCCTTGCTCGTTTTCTGAGAAATGGACGATTCATATTCAGACACGCGCATTCACTACGAGAAAAACTCTCCCTGCTCTAGCTGCGGTCGCTACATTCTGAGGCTTAGTCAGGACATGTCACAGAGGAACATGCTATCGTGCTGGAACTTCCGGGCCGATAAGGTCGCATCAGAACCCTATGTGTTAGTAGAGAAGAACAAAGTGTCAGCAGGAAGCGTGAAATTGAAACCCCGACCCTTCAAGACAGGCGATGAATCGCTCAGTACGATGTTATCTTCCCTTGTAATCGTGCAAACGAAAAAAGAAGCTCACTTTGTGTGGAATGCGGTGAAGGACAGGAGGCAAAAAGATACCATCAGAGTCACTCTCATGCGCCAAGGGAAAAAAGACGAAATCTTGAGCGTCTTCATCGGAAAACCTTCGAAATCATTTGAAATATGTCCGGATTGCCACACATCTCCTCACTTGAAGAGCGTAGAGAGATCAGAGGTATTTCAAGCTGATTTGTTGGAGGAGACGAGCCGAGAGGTATTGGAAGGCTATGAAGGCGAAGGCGAAGGCGAGGGAGGCGAGGGAGGCGAGGGAGGCGAGGGAGGCGAGGAAGGTGAGGGAGGCGAGGGAGACGAGGGAGGCGAGGGAGACGAGGGAGACGAGGGAGACGAGGGAGGCGAGGGAGGCGAGGGAGGCGAAGACAAAGGCCGAGGAGGATGGGTAGGCAAAAGTGAGGGCAGAGATGAAGACTTTGCAGAAGACACACCAGGAGCGGCAGCGGAAGAAGCAAGAAGCAACAAGGAATTCTCTGTTGACCCCTATCAATCAGGCAGTGAACTTGCAATCGAAGATTCTGCTGAACGTGCTGCATGTGCAGTGCCAATAAATCAACATTCAGGAGCATCATCTTCGAGATTCAATTCTTCTGAGAGCATTGTAGACAATCACCAACAAGTAGATCAACGGTGCTCGTCGGATTGTCAGTCGAATCTCCAGGAAGGAAAAAAAGTTTCTGATAATGTCTGCTTTGATCAAACAAGAAACCCAAAACGAGAAAGGGAGGGCGAGTCGGATACGATGTCCTCGGAACGGGAAAAACTTGTCGTGACTACGCCAAACAATTTTGGGATGTCAAAGAATGCGAAGGAAGAAACAAACAGGAAAGATGCTTATGGAGATTCGAATGGCAGAGCTGAGAAAAAGACGAAATTCCAAGGACTCGACGGACATAGTGAGCTTCTCGGCGATTCACAAGGAAACCAAGTGTCTGATCTCGACAAACCTTTCAACAGCAAACAGATGGAAAATGTTTTTTTGGCAACCTTCCAGAGATTTATGGATGATGTCGGAAAAAGTGAAGAAACTGATCAATCAATCAGTAAACTTCTTGATACATTTTTGGTCAAGAATCGATTTGCTAGGTTGATTCAATTTAGCAAAAATCAGGGTATACTGACGAAGCTGATGAAAGCAGCAGCAAAGAGCAAGCAGCATCTTTTGGAAAGTGTTGTGATCTTAAATGAAACAGGGATGGAAGGAGTACATCAAGAGAAAGTAACATCAGAGTTCTTAGACATTTTGGTCTCCGCTTGCAAGGCCTTGAGCGATGAAGCAGATGCGGATCTGTGCATGCGCTTGTATGAATTCTTATCCAAATTGGCTATCTCCGCATCGGAATGCAGTCAGATGATAGTCGCCGGGATATTGCAAGGAAGTGTGCAGCACTGGAATCGTTTCTCAAGCCACAAGAAGGTTCGCACGAGCATCGCAACGTTAGCTCACAAGCTCGCGTCCTTCGACGAGAGCCGTAATGCTTTCAGGCAATGTGAATTTGGTCTGGAGCTGATGGGATTGATCTTTGAGGTACAATCATAATGTTTTCATTGCTTGGTTTAACATTGCTCAGCAAGTTCCAATGGATTAATATGGTCCACAAACGTGGGAACATCGTCCTGGAAATGAGATCTTCGGCAGAGAAGCGATGAGTTGAATTTTAAGTTTCAGAGAGGCATCTCGAAAATTATCTTGTCAAATATTCGAAGTTAACGACATCAGTGAACGGGCAACTCTTGAAGAGGAAAATGTTTTCTTCCTGCACAAAACTTTCCACACACAACGTACAACTTGAACTGAACCATACAAATGCTCAAGATTGAAACACGGATATCGTCCACGTGCTGCTGATTTCTGCACAGGTGTTTCCTCAACATTGTCAGATTCCAACAAGATTCTGCGCAGAATTGACTTACTTTGACCGAAATATTACAAAGATAATTTATTGTCAATAAAACGATGCTCAACAGGTAACAAGGAGTGAGCAAAAAGATTAAGGTATAGCCGAAACGATGATTTCCAAATCACCCGGAATAGTGATGAACGAATGATTCCCACAAGCATCCATGGTTAAGAGTCTACGACTGCATGTTTTGACAAGCGTCATTGCTCGTAGATAATTCAAGAGAGACTCGAACCTCAAGCGTCGGGATGCGGCTCCGGTTCGAGGGTAACAGGAGCGTCAGGTCCTTTCTCCACGTCATCTGCAGCTATCGGAGGCACAGGCATCACAGACGGTATAGGAGCTGGGTTGATGGAGTCCTCAGGAGGAGGAGGAGCTCCGCTCTCTTCGGGAAGGCCCGACTCCTCGGAAGGAACCGGAGGAGCAGCGGTTACAGCCATCGGAGCGACGTTAGCCATCTGCTGGTCCACGGGAATAGAAGCGACCTTTGCCGCGCACTCCTTGCATTCAGTGCGGATCTTCTTGTGCTCGCAGAATTTGAGCTCTGCACATTCTTTGCAGCGCGACCTCCGCTTGTTGTGCTCGCAGATGCTCGAACCTCCACACTCTCTGCAACGCGATCGGATCTTTTTGTGTTCACAGAAACTGGAGCCACCACACTCCTTGCACTGAGACCGCAACTTCTTGTGTTCGCAGAGCTCTCCTCCTCCGCAGTCCTTGCAGCGAGATCGAATTCGCTTGTGCTCGCAAATGCTGGATCCACCACAATCCTTGCAGTGAGAACGAAGCTTTCCATGTTCGCAAATGCTGGAGCCCCCGCAGTCCTTGCATCGCGATTTCCTCCTGTTATGTTCGCAAATGCTGCTACCTCCACACTCGCGGCAGCGAGACTTGCGCTTATTGTGAACACAGAAACTGGAACCGCCGCACTCCTTGCATTGCGCCCGGAGTCTACTGTGGGGGCAGACGCCAGAGCCGCCGCATTCTCGGCAACGGGAGCGAAGCTTCTTGTGCACACAAATACTGGAGCCCCCGCACTCCCTGCATCTTGATTTACGCTTATTGTGTTCACAGAAGCTGGATCCTCCGCACTCCTTACAACGAGACTTCCTCTTGTTGTGCTCGCAGAACCCTGAACCTCCACACTCCTTGCAGCGCGACCGCCTCTTGTGATGCTCACAATGCTTGAAGCCAGCAGCAGCCGCCGCTGCTTTAAGTTTGGCCATTTCATCCTTGTCCTTGTCATCTTCGGGATCTACCGGCAGCTCGTCCTCGGATCTTGGTCGCTTCTGTCCCACCATGACATCTTCAGGTCGGACCTCAGGCGGCTCCATCCTCACGTCGCCAGTGTACAACGAGCTAGGGTGAAGAGGCGGGGAGGAGAGGCAGCAAGCCCTCTTGCTAGGAGGCTAGGGAGCGTGGAAGGGGTAGACGTGGGCCAACAGAGTTTGAACTGGAATGGCGGGGAGGGCGGGAGGGGATGAGGGGAGGAGGCAACAAGAGAGCGGGAGGGGATGAGGGGAGGGGCGGCCAGAGGGGATGAGGGGAGGGAGGAAGGGTCAAAACTTGGGGATGAGGGCTGCACGAGGAGCACGCGGAAGCATCGAAGAATGTGGACCCTCTCCTGGAGTTATATCTTAATTGGAACAATAATAAAAAATGCATATCCACTTACCCTCACCCTTCAATTCAAATCTTTTGCCTAGGTTGTAACTGATTGCACTACCCCTACCCCACCCCCACTCCATTAGATTACAACAGAGGAGCGGAGAAGTGTGAGGAGGAATAGAGAAGGAGACAAGGCATGGGGGTAAAGGTGGCAAATTCTATAAGTCTGGTATTAATCTATCAAAGCAAGGGATAGTTGTGGTTGAAGAATTTTTCAAACTTCAATTTTCTCTACCGGTGGTTTCTATTTGAGTACCCGTCATTTAGACTGAAAAAGAGGCTAACAAGTACCCAGCTTGCAACCCACCACCCAGCCCTTTGGTATCATTGGCGCTTCAAAGTGACTCATGTATAACGCATACATCAAGTGTATACGATATAGATATTTTCCAAGACCACTCCGTGAATCATGTACCCCCACCCCTTCTCCGACCTAACTCTCTCTGGGGTAGTTTAACGGAAACCGTTTTATTTTTTTTCGAGGCCTCGTGCGAACGTCTACCATCAGCCGCCAACATGGGCCGCATGCACAGCAAAGGGTATGCCTTTTCCCCCTCCCTGGACGTATGCACATGGAAGAATAGCGCTTGTTCTGATTGTTTACATACATATACATGCTTGTCAGCATCTGGTGCACATATGACGTATCTGGTACAAAGTGACGAAAGGAATATGGGTTGAGCGAGGTGCTGTGACATATCTTAGCATTCGGTTGTCTGGATGGTTATGATGAACATGAGAGATCTTCATGCTCATATTTCGATGAGGATTACTTTATGATTGAAATATTAGCAAGGAATTACAGCGATCTTCCTTTCTTGTAATGGATGTCGGCTGATGTGAGATTATGTCATTATGTAGTACTGGTGACCAGTTGTCACCGGAGCATTTTGATGAGGCCTTCATTAGCGTATTGGTGATGAAGTTATGTTTTGGTTGTTCAGTACAAGTTGAGATGGAGTTATCCCTTTCTGTTGCTTGAATCTATGATTTATCTTGCTTACAATTTTTGGCGATCTTGACCCATGTATTCGCAGTAAGGGTATCTCCCGTTCGGCCAAGCCGTACAGGAGATCAGCCCCCTCATGGCTGAACAAGGTCTCTCCGACCCAAGTTGTCGAGCAGATCACCAAGTTTGCCAAGAAGGGCATGACCCCTTCGCAAATTGGTGTGATGCTTCGTGACTCCCATGGAATTGCTCAAGTCAAGTCTGTCACTGGAAGCAAAATCCTCCGTATTCTCAAGTCTCAGGGTAAACAGATTCACGCCCCATCGTTTTGTTTCATTGATGAATCTGCGCAGGCCTCTCCCCGGAGATTCCCGAGGATCTTTATTGCTTAATCAAGAAGGCGGTTTCAGTGCGCAAGCACTTGGAGAGGAACAGAAAAGATCGTGATGCCAAGTTCCGTCTTATTCTCATTGTATCCTAACCTGTACATTATTTGTACTATTCTAACGAGAATTTCAAGGAATCTCGTGTACACAGGCTTGGACGTTATTACAAAACCGCTGGAAAGCTTCCCCCCAACTGGAAATAGTGAGCTTCCTTCTTGACATTTGATATGTTGGCTAACAATTGCTGTCCAGCGAGTCTGCAACTGCCTCTGCCATCGTTCAGTAAAATTAATTATAGCAATGTGAAAAGCGAAATAAAAGGAGCTGTGCATCCGGGAGCATACCAAGCCTTGTAGCATTTTACAGCATGTTCTGACAGACTTGCAGATCATCGGATGAGGAACTAGACTGAGTACGGTCCGTCCGATCTGTGACAAGTCAGTGAATTTGGCGGCAATGATCGCCGGTGAGTCAGTGACCGCCGTTCTTTTACTTAGTGCCAAACTTAAGTTAAACTTGGAAAGTACGAGGTCAGATCGGGTGGATAGCCTGGCATCATGGCAGCGGCAGCCGTTCAATCATGGGCCGGTCAGCCGGGTCCGAGCCTCCGGGAGTGACTTGAAAACTGAAGTGACCCAGCCTGAGGGCCACTCAGTGTCGGAAACTGGCCCGCGGCGGCGCCAGCGGCGGCGTGCCGGGCCGTCAGATAGCGCCAAGTCACGGTAACAAAACTCAGGCTCCTAAACCAAGACTCTTACCGTACGTGTTTCCGAGTCCGAGGTGATCGGACAGTGCCGCAATCACGGTAGTACGTGTGACGAAGAGGGGGCATACACGCCGGTAGTATCTCAGTCTCACAGGCTCAGTGATGATGCCATGGTGTGCTCCTTCGGTTCCGCCATCGGAGTCACTGTCACTGATTCCGTAAGTTCTGGTTTTGTGTGCATTCAACTTGGCAATGAAACTCGGTCTTGACAGTGAACAAAAACTGTCCGATCTTGTTACACTGACTCGGCTAAGGCCCCGTGACAGTCGATGTTACTGATAGTATATCTGCCGCTGACTTTGGCACAACGGTACCTTGAAGTCTAACAAACTTGAAGTTGCCAGGTTGTGCTCCGGCGTCAGCCGGCCCAGCCGGGGCCGGCCGTAGCCTGGGCTTACGGACTCACCGAGGCCATCACTGATGGCACTCAGTGCCGTACGGTCGGATGCGGAACCGTAATCATTTAGTAACTTCTTTACTCAAAGTAGTAACTTTGAGTAACTGAGTATTGAAGTCGGAGGCTGCGGATTCCGCCGGCCGGGCGTTGCGGCCGCCTCCCGGTCCGGAGTCCGGGTCCGCCGATTATTTCCGGCCCGGCCGGCGGGCCGCCAAGGAGCCAAGGGGTGTACAACCTTGGGTCAAATGAGGGTTATTTTTAGCCCAAATGACCGGGTGGTGGAAGGCAGGAGGGGTGTGGAGGGTGCGCGAAGAGTCATCTAGGTGCAATGGTTCGCCTCGCTTCTGCTCTTGCAACTGTAAGTGATGATGGGAGAAGAACGTGTAAGAATACAATGAGGAAGGAACTGATGAGATGAGACCAATTCGATGTGGGCTAGGAGTGATGTTGATGGTCGATGTAGGCTAGGAGTGATGTTGATGGTTTACGGAATCGACACACGACGCTTTCTTGCTCGGCGACCCCAACACAATATGATGGAGGGAAATTAGGGAAGAATCTGTGTTGCTTGATTTTGATTGCGAACCAATTGGTGGTTTCAGCCAATTATTGAGGATCTTTTGTCTTGTATAGGAATCGACCAGAGTTTCGTGAAACCCTAAACCCTAGTCTCTTTCTATCATTCACAGGCCACTTCATAAAACTTCAATACTGATATTGAGAGTGCTGCTTACATGGATGTCAACAGTGTCTTGTATCTATTGTCTTAGATCCACGATGATAGATCTGATGGAGCCTTGCGTGGCTACAGTATTTATGATAACTCATCAGTCTCATAGAACACTTATTTGCTAGCAAATCTTTACTCAAAGTGAAGCAAATCACTGACAGAATGCATGACTGGCTGATTGCAGGTGAATGTGAATGGCACTAGCATCACCACCCCTGGTTTGTCTGCTCGTCGTTTCTTGTTTTGGTTTTAAGGTCTATGCCAGATGGTGAGGATACCACTGTCTACACCTATCCTGGATGTGGGTATTATCCGTACGCGTACCCCTATTCATGTGAGACGTGCAAGTCTTGAGGTAGTGGTGCATGACATGGACCTTGCTAGATCCGTACTACTACGGATACTCATACCCGTACTCCTACACATCATGTAAGTTTTCCCTGAGTTTCCGCCTCTTGTCATCCTCGCTCAGATTACTATCCCTATGCTTACCCAAGCACCGTCGTGTCCTTCTACTAGACATAATGATGACGTGACTGCTGGGCCTTCGCGTGGTTTTTGAGCTTGTCGAGCACGTGCGCGGGACGGAGAAGTTTGTGAAGTTGTGAAGCATCATCATTTAAACTATACAAACTCTTCGGAGGCGTGTGCTTTGTAAGAGCTGCTATAGGCAAAGCTAGTCTCCATCATGCATGCGATGTGAAAGCCTCGCTGGCAGTATGCAGGTATCGGTACTGGTTCTGCAGTAGCGAACGTCATGATTTCATCAAAATTCTCCGTTCCAAGTTCACCAGTTGGCCGTATCCAGTTGCCCAATCCCAACTGTCCTCTATCATTCATGCCGCAAGCAACCTGTTACGCCTCAGGAAGCTTAAGGAGGATGAAAAAATATCTCCCTCACCACATCGCCGTTGTCCAAGGCTGCAATAGTGAAATCGAATCCACATGCCACCTGAAAAAGTTGAGCACCTCACGAGTTTTTGTCCTGGTACCTCAAGAACTCGACTGAAGTTGTGAAACTGCTTCCACCATGGCGTGATCGGTGTCAGGTGGTAAGCCATCGCCTCATGGGTCAGCCCCAGCTACACTCAAGCATCATACCACAATGATTGGATTTCTTACTCACAGCTCCGAAGGTATTTCTCCCGCATCCCCACAGCTCACCATCTTCAAACAAGAGGATCGTGTGTTGAACTCCACAGATTATCTTTGAAACTCGTACAGCGGGTTTGTCGGGTCTGAATACCATTTCAATCTGAAAATTTGTCCACGAAGAATCAAAACCCGTCTAGCAACGAGAAGCAAGTTTTCACCGGTTCAGTCTCCTTGCAGCTTTCAGGAGGGTGAAATGTTGAGGGATGCTTGAGGCATCCAAGCTGACCAAAGCAATTACTACCAAAAGCCCAAACCCCCTCGTTGCGATCCACAACTATTGTATGCTCCCCGCCGCAACCCACTTCTCGCACCCCTACACCATCAAAAGCTTCCACAGGGAGAGGACGCGAGACGTTTTCACACGAGTCTCCTATTCCCAACTGACCACAACAATTCAAGCCGCAAGCGAAGAGATCTACCACAACATCAGTCATGAGTTCAGAATACAAGGATCTCTTACCTCCTTCCTCCAGCAAGAACATTGAATGAAAATCACCACAAGCAATTGAAACACATTTCCCTGGCAAGCAAACTCGTTGAGGTTTGAAAATTTTTCTTTCCAAGGGAATATCAAGACCAAGTTGTCCATGCACATTCCCTCCAAAGGAGAAAACAGATCCATCGTTGCAGAGAACAAGCGAATGGCAGACGCCACAAGCAATGTCTTTGATATTCTGATTCACCCGTTCAAGGTGAATTTGATGCGGGGCATCGATCGGAACATCTGTGTCGATACCTACTTGCCGGTAGATGTTGCATCCCCACCCATATAGAGTTTGCTGACCATCCTTTTCCTCTGCAAGTGCAAATGCGTGGTTCCATCCACACCGCAAGAACTTGATCGCTACATGTCGAAGACGGTCGAGAGCAACTGGGACTGTGTTAGAGCCGTAGTGCTCGTCGCCGGCATGATCAATGGGGAATCCTCGAGCGTCATAGCCAAAATCAGCTCCTCGTGCGTGCTCGGGAATGCTACCATGTGCTGGTTCGCCAGGCTGACCCTCTCCGACCCCAAGCTGTCCGAGATCGTTTCCCCCACAGCCAAGGACCATTCCTGCGAAGTCACCTTCCTCGGCAGCTTCTTCATGCTGCTTGGTTCTTGTGTAGACAGGAAACTCGAATATTTCGGGATCTTGAGGAACCTCCGGGCAAACATCAAGTCTAGTCAAGTCAGGATAGCGCGAATCTTTGTCTTCAGAGCTTGGATCATTGTAATAGTCAATGAAGCCGTCCAATGTATCATCATGCTCTTTTGGCAACATGTCAGGCATCCAAAGGTTCTCATTCGCAGAAACATTACTTCTCTTGAGAGCCTGTATATATGGATCGCGATTCGCTAGAGTCTCATTGTAAAGATATCGCAGAGGAACACGAGGATAGGGAAAATGCCCGCTGCCAGGTTTTAAAATACTCCATTTGTAACCTGTGTCGTCAAGTTCCCCAACCTCACTAACATTGGTCTCCCTCTCGTAATTTTCAAGGAACTCTCGCTCCTCTTCTGTCGCCAACGGAGAATTCATGATGTCGACAGGAAGATTGCTGTTTTGATTGATCGTGGTTTTCCACGAGGTGTTGAAATTTTCTGCATTCGCAGTATGGTCTTCAGACTTACCACCTCTCAGTTGAAGCCTCAAAATCTTGCAGTTTCCGAAGCCATCTTTGACTATATGCTTTGGACATCTGGATTCGGTTGAGCCACAAGAAAGCTGATAGCTGAGAAGAAGCACAAGGCCTGCAGAGACAGTTGTGCGCCTCAAACCTTTTGCGTGCTTCATCCAAGATGTTGTCACGGATGAGAAGTTAGAATCCAAGCAACATGAGTCAGCAACATGGATTGGAGCAGTTTACTCAATGCTGCAACCAATCCCTTCCCTCTGCCAAGATTGTAGGGAACCCCTTCATTACTCACACTTCATATGTTCTCCCACTATCTTTCGTAGTTGATTATTAGTTAGTAGCCGTTGACTTTAACTTAACTTTGATTAACAGAAACTCCGATGAGAAGCCGCATCACACCCGAAGGTATCAGGTACTTAGGGTTTAGGGTATAAGGATCGGACTTGCGACGGGCCCGAAGGACATCGGCACTGAAAATACCTAATACGGAAGCACCCAGGCCTAAGGGGCCTATAGGACAACGGGCCAGGGTTTAGGGTTTAGGGTTTAGGGTTTAGGGTTTAGGGTTTAGGGTTTAGGGTTTAGGGTTTAGGGTTTAGAAAGCTATTTGAAGGGTTTAGGGTTTAGGGTTTAGGGTTTAGGGTTTAGGGTTTAGGGTTTAGGGTTTAGGGTTTAGGGTTTAGGGTTTAGGGTTTAGGGTTTAGGGTTTAGGGTTTAGGGTTTAGGGTTTAGGGTTTAGGGTTAAGGGTTTAGGGTTTAGGGTTTAGGGTTTAGGGTTTAGGGTTTAGGGTTTAGGAGCGCCGGTTATTTCAGGGAGCGCCGGTTATTTGAGGCACCATGGCTGCACGCGTGGTGTAGGGGAAGCTGCCAGGGCGCCAAGGAAGCTGCAAGCGAGAGGTTTGTATACTTCAAATAGCTTTCTAAGTATGGTTCTTCAGTATGATGAAAATGTTCGCAACCTGCTGTATCGGAGATCATGCCAATACACGCAGAGCGGACTTGTGGATGCCTCTGTCCTCGAAGCTGATCTCGTCGAGAGGGTGAAGAGCTTCGCGAAGCGTTATCCGAACAGCAGGACAGCCCAGGCTTGCAAGGCTGTGGAGGGATGCACCCCCGACGCTATCGCAGAAGCCATCCGCTCGACATGTCAGCAGGCACGACGTGAGCTTCTGCAAGAAGCGATGACTGGATGGAGTGACGCATCCAGAGAGTGGTTTATGCAGCAGATTGAAGAAGCCAAGAAGGAGAAGGTCGAGACATACACCGCCTCAGCAGGCAACGAGGTGACTTCCTTCATCTCCATGACTCTCCTGGGCATCTCCTCGGTGTATGTCAACCATGAAGAAAAGCTGAAGAAGAAATTTGAAGAGATCGGACTGATCGTAGACTCAGTGCAAGAGAGTAAAGCAATCATGTGGAAGGCTCCGTATAGACCCGAGATAGCGAGTGCTGAGGAGATCCCGGTGACTGTTTCCTTCCTCCGCAATGCACAAGCGGAGAAGCTCTGGCAGGGAAGAGAGGACTTCGCGATCGATGGTCGCAAGTTCACAGCTGTACATGTGAGCATCGTGCACGATCGATCTTTCAAGATTCGAGCCAAGAGAGGACCCTGGGGCAAAGGGGGCAGCTTGGCAGAGCTGACTCACCTGCTAACCTTGGGCGGCATGACAACGGCTGAGATAGCTGCCGTCTATCGCTATCAGCTGCTGCGCCAGTCCCTTGCAGCGGTCCAACTCCAGCCGCTGGCAGGCATGCTGGTCGCTGGGGCGCCAGGACAGCAAGTCCACAAAGGCTTAGGTCAGAAAGGCTTCATCGCTGTAGGGGCCAACGTCATCTGGAGACAGAGGGAGGTGGAGTGGATCGTCTCCTCGAGCTGCCCAGAGGCGAATGATACAGCATTTCGAGCTTTCCGAGAGAGCGAAGCGATGGAGGGAGTACACCTGACTCTGTTCAGCGAGGACCCGAAGATCAGAGAGGCGCTCGCAGTCGAGTTGACAGCTGATCGCTTTGTGTCCAGAAATAAGTTGAAGAAGGCATCAAGACTGCAGAAGAAGGCAGGCGGCAAGGACGGCAAGGAGATCAAGATCATCATCAAGTCGACGGCGGCATCTGGTCGCTTCACGAGGAAGGAGATGGAGGGGCTGTGCAACGGCGGCAACACGTCCATCGCAAGAGTCAAGAGAGTCTTGTTGGAGATCGCTAACAGGCTCGAGATCAAAGTTGAAGGCATCGACATGGAGGAGGATTTGAACACCAAGTCCTGGAACGGGTCCAAGCTATGCATCCTCCTCGGCTCCACGGAGGATGCTCGACGCATGATGAAGGAGCTGCCCTTCTATCTCGAAGGCGCAGCAACCAAGCTCGAAGCAGTCGGCTTCGACAAGGAGCCTGACTCTGAGGCGGCTGGTCAGCGGGGCACCAGCGACGCAGCGCAGCGACAGGAGGAGAGCGAGGGAGAGTGGCTGGAGTTTACAGACCTGGAGAGGATCACAATGGAGGCAGCATCTCCGTCAAGCCAAGAGGACATGCAGCTCGTCAGCGAGCTGTCAGCAGTCATCGAAGATGCAGCTTCTTTGAACGAGGCGGGGACGAGCGAGCCGATCAAGCTGGTCCTGGACAAGGCCGTTGGCAACCTCCACGACACCTTCTACTCTCCGGGGAGCCTGGAGTTCATGTCGCTGGGAGAGTGGGCGAAGATGCCAGAGGAGCAGGGAGTTGGGCGCAACGTTCTCAAGGAGAAGCTGGGGAAGTGGCTGCAGAGCAAGCGCTGGACTCGCGTGCAAGGAGAGAGCAAGAAGGCAAGGAGGGGCAGCGCGTTCTCGCCACGGGCAACGGCAGCTGCTGAGCTTGAGCAGGAGGCGGAGAGCGATGACATAGAGCGTCGATCTCTTAGCTTCCTGTTCATAGCACTGAGTAAATTCGCAGAGATGCATGTGCTGGCCTGCTCGCTGAAGGTGGACAAGAAGGACCGACTGCGAGTGGAGATGAGGGAAGATGACGAAGAAGAGGAAGACATGGAGGAAGAGCAAGGCGAGGGCGAGGAAGAAGACAGGGCGAGCCCGTACCGAGCTTGAGCTGAGCTCAAGGTAAGGAGAGAAGGTAGGAGGCGACCGAAGGCCAAGGTGAGGAGAGGCAACTCTCCTGACTGAGGCTGAGGAAGCTGAATGGAGGAGGAGTAGGTAGCGACCGAAGGCCAAGGTGAGGAGAGGCAACTCTCCTGACTGAGGCTGAGGAAGCTGAATGGAGGTAGAGTAGGTGGCGACCGAAGGCCAAGGTGAGGAGAGGCAACTCTCCTGACTGAGGCTGAGCAAGCCAAGAGAAGACAGCAGAAGTAGAGAGTAGAAAGACGCCTCAGAAGCAGGGTTCGCATTGTAGGCCGTGTACTCCCAGTGCTCGAGCGCCTCTTTAGACTAGGATCAAATTGCAAAAGCCCACAACGAGGCCGAGCAACATTCTAGCATTCTAATAAACTCACATAATAATAATAGGGTTTAGGGTTTAGGGTTTAGGGTTTAGGGTTTAGGGTTTAGGGTTTAGGAGCGCCGGTTATTTCAGGCAGCGCCGGTTATTTCAGGCAGCGCCGGTTATTTCAGGCAGCGCCGGTTATTTCAGGCAGCGCCGGTTATTTCAGGCAGCGCCGGTTATTTCAGGCAGCGCCGGTTATTTCAGGCAGCGCCGGTTATTTCAGGCAGCGCCGGTTATTTCAGGCAGCGCCGGTTATTTCAGGCAGCGCCGGTTATTTCAGGCACCATGGAAAAGCGCCGGTTATTTCAGGCACCATGGCTGCACGCGTGGTGTAGGGGAAGCCGCCAGGGCGCCAAGGAAGCTGCAAGCGAGAGGTTTGTATACGTCAAATAGCTTTCTAAGTATGGTTCTTCAGTATGATGAAAATGTTCGCAACCTGCTGTATCGGAGATCTTGCCAATACACGCAGAGCGGACTTGTGGATGCCTCTGTCCTCGAAGCTGACCTCGTCGAGAGGGTGAAGAGCTTCGCGAAGCGTTATCCGAACAGCAGGACAGCTCAGGCTTGCAAGGCTGTGGAGGGATGCACCCCCGACGCTATCGCAGAAGCCATCCGCTCGACATGTCAGCAGGCACGACGTGAGCTTCTACAAGAAGCGATGACTGGATGGAGTGACGCATCCAGAGAGTGGTTTATGCAGCAGATTGAAGAAGCCAAGAAGGAGAAGGTCGAGACATACACCGCCTCAGCAGGCAACGAGGTGACTTCCTTCATCTCCATGACTCTCCTGGGCATCTCCTCGGTGTATGTCAACCATGAAGAAAAGCTGAAGAAGAAATTCGAAGAGATCGGACTGGTCGTAGACTCAGTGCAAGAGAGTAAAGCAATCATGTGGAAGGCTCCGTATAGACCCGAGATAGCGAGTGCTGAGGAGATCCCGGTGACTGTTTCCTTCCTCCGCAATGCACAAGCGGAGAAGCTCTGGCAGGGAAGAGAGGACTTCGCGATCGATGGTCGCAAGTTCACAGCTGTACATGTGAGCATCGTGCACGATCGATCTTTCAAGATTCGAGCCAAGAGAGGACCCTGGGGCAAAGGGGGCAGCTTGGCAGAGCTGACTCACCTGCTAACCTTGGGCGGCATGACAACGGCTGAGATAGCTGCCGTCTATCGCTATCAGCTGCTGCGCCAGTCCCTTGCAGCGGTCCAACTCCAGCCGCTGGCAGGCATGCTGGTCGCTGGGGCGCCAGGCCAGCAAGTCCACAAAGGCTTAGGTCAGAAAGGCTTCATCGCTGTAGGGGCCAACGTCATCTGGAGACAGAGGGAGGTGGAGTGGATCGTCTCCTCGAGCTGCCCAGAGGCGAATGATACAGCATTTCGAGCTTTCCGAGAGAGCGAAGCGATGGAGGGAGTACACCTGACTCTGTTCAGCGAGGACCCGAAGATCAGAGAGGCGCTCGCAGTCGAGTTGACAGCTGATCGCTTTGTGTCCAGAAATAAGTTGAAGAAGGCATCAAGACTGCAGAAGAAGGCAGGCGGCAAGGACGGCAAGGAGATCAAGATCATCATCAAGTCGACGGCGGCATCTGGTCGCTTCACGAGGAAGGAGATGGAGGGGCTGTGCAACGGCGGCAACACGTCTATCGCAAGAGTCAAGAGAGTCTTGTTGGAGATCGCTAACAGGCTCGAGATCAAAGTTGAAGGCATCGACATGGAGGAGGATTTGAACACCAAGTCCTGGAACGGGTCCAAGCTATGCATCCTCCTCGGCTCCACGGAGGATGCTCGATGCATGATGAAGGAGCTGCCCTTCTATCTCGAAGGCGCAGCAACCAAGCTCGAAGCAGTCGGCTTCGACAAGGAGCCTGAGGCGGCTGGTCAGCGGGGCACCAGCGACGCGACGCAGCGCAGCGACAGGAGGAGAGCGAGGGAGAGTGGCTGGAGTTTACAGACCTGGAGAGGATCACAATGGAGGCAGCATCTCCGTCAAGCCAAGAGGACATGCAGCTCGTCAGCGAGCTGTCAGCAGTCATCGAAGATGCAGCTTCTTTGAACGAGGCAGGGACGAGCGAGCCGATCAAGCTGGTCCTGGACAAGGCCGTTGGCAACCTCCACGACACGTTCTACTCTCCGGGGAGCCTGGAGTTCATGTCGCTGGGAGAGTGGGCGAAGATGCCAGAGGAGCAGGGAGTGGGACGCAACGTTCTCAAGGAGAAGCTGGGGAAGTGGCTGCAGAGCAAGCGCTGGACTCGCGTGCAAGGAGACAGCAAGAAGGCAAGGAGGGGCAGCGCGTTCTCGCCACGGGCAACGGCAGCTGCTGAGCTTGAGCAGGAGGCGGAGAGCGACGACATAGAGCGTCGATCTCTTAGCTTCCTGTTCATAGCACTGAGTAAATTCGCAGAGATGCATGTGCTGGCCTGCTCGCTGAAGGTGGACAAGAAGGACCGACTGCGAGTGGAGATGAGGGAAGATGACGAAGAAGAGGAAGACATGGAGGAAGAGCAAGGCGAGGGCGAGGAAGAAGACGGGGCGAGCCCGTACCGAGCTTGAGCTGAGCTCAAGGTAAGGAGAGAAGGTAGGAGGCGACCGAAGGCCAAGGTGAGGAGAGGCAACTCTCCTGACTGAGGCTGAGGAAGCTGAATGGAGACGAGTAGGTGGCGACCGAAGGCCAAGGTGAGGAGAGGCAACTCTTCTGACTGAGGCTGAGGAAGCTGAATGGAGGTAGAGTAGGTGGCGACCGAAGGCCAAGGTGAGGAGAGGCAACTCTCCTGACTGAGGCTGAGGAAGCCAAGAGAAGACAGCAGAAGTAGAGAGTAGAAAGACGCCTCAGAAGCAGGGTTCGCATTGTAGGCCGTGTACTCCCAGTGCTCGAGCGCCTCTTTAGACTAGGATCAAATTGCAAAAGCCCACAACGAGGCCAAGCAACATTCTAGCATTCTAATAAACTCACATAATAATAATAATAAATATGGTTTAGGGTTTAGGGTTTAGGGTTTAGGGTTTAGGCGCCGTTATTTTCGGCAGCGCGCCGTTATTTTCGGCAGCATGGCTCCTCGTCAGGTGTAGGGGAAGCCGCCAGGGCGCCAAGGAAGCTGCAAGCAAGAGGTTTGTATACTTCAAATAGCTTTCTAAGTATGGTTCTTCAGTATGATGAAAATGTTCGCAACCTGCTGTATCGGAGATCATGCCAATACACGCAGAGCGGACTTGTGGATGCCTCTGTCCTCGAAGCTGATCTCGTCGAGAGGGTGAAGAGCTTCGCGAAGCGTTATCCGAACAGCAGGACAGCCCAGGCTTGCAAGGCTGTGGAGGGATGCACCCCCGACGCTATCGCAGAAGCCATCCGCTCGACATGTCAGCAGGCACGACGTGAGCTTCTACAAGAAGCAATGACTGGATGGAGTGACGCATCCAGAGAGTGGTTTATGCAGCAGATTGAAGAAGCCAAGAAGGAGAAGGTCGAGACATACACCGCCTCAGCAGGCAACGAGGTGACTTCCTTCATCTCCATGACTCTCCTGGGCATCTCCTCGGTGTATGTCAACGATGAAGAAAAGCTGAAGAAGAAATTTGAAGAGATCGGACTGATCGTAGACTCAGTGCAAGAGAG